CTATCGATTTTTATAGGGCAAGAAATGGGGGAACGCATGTGTATTTCAATTTGCACGGTACACACGTGCATCAGTTTACCATGGCCGTTGCCGTGATGCGATCGGTTTTATTGTCATCTGCTTTGGGTTTTTTATCATCAAATTCCATTTTTCCAGACAAGGTAATGGTAAATTTGAGAAACTTTGACAAAAATTACCCAGATATTTACATGACAAGTTTTCATGCAATGTTACTTTGGGTGACGTTTCTTTTTGCGGTTCAGTATACATTCCTTCTATGAACTGTACGTGGTCTAAACCCTGTCACAGCCACGTGACGCCAAATACCGATAGGGGAATCGAACCCAGTACTTCTGGAAGTTTCTTACAACGTAGCTGATATTATACGCCCCTCGTGGCTGGAGTATGTTTGCCACTTGAAATTCTACTGGAACATATCCGCCCTGGAGAATCCTTGACGTCTACCGCCTGACATGTGAAGATATATGTCTATGTGGCACATGACACTTACGCAAAACGAGTTGGAAAAGTCTCCGGCCTATAAATAAGGAATATAAAATCATGTTGATGCACGGAAACGCATACCCCCGGGGGACATCAAGTTTCTAAACGTACCCTCATTTAATGTAACACTAATGTTCTTCGCAACGCGGCACTTAACAGTGTGTGGCAGGCTGATTGAATACTGAAGAACTCTACAAACCTCCCAGTTGACACAACTTATTGATGGCCGTTTGAGCGAGCATCCTTTGGTTGTCTTTAGTTAACGAGAAAGCTTATTGAACTCCCTCTGGCCTACACTGAGCCACGCTGATAGGTTCTTTTTATCGTAAAACAGTGTTAAAGATTTATTAAACGTCTTCTCCGTTCACCGTCATGCTTCTTTGTCACGAGATCCAACAGAAACTGGATAGTTTAGGCAAATTCCAGGCCCGCCACCCGAGATGCTTGTGGGTAGTGCATTGTGGGTACAGAGTAGAGCAGAGGCAAGGTACCGCTTTATGTCCTCGACCAAACCAGTGCAACAGTGCTGCGTTCAGACTTGGACAGAATCTCTCACACATACCCTGAAACAAAAGTTTACATTCTTCAGTTTCAGACTAAAAAGGAAGAGATTGTCTGTTCTGGGTTCCGTTCCACAAAGTGATCGTAACGCTAAGACAGTCGTAAGTCTATGTTAAGGTATGGGAGTTACGATCACCCTAGCGCTACGATAGTCGTAAGTCTATGTTAAGGTATGGGAGTTACGATCACCTTAGCGCTACGACAGTCGTAAGTCTATGTTAAAGTATGGGAGTGAGAATCACCTCAGAGCTACGATTGTCGTAAGTCAATGTTAAGGTAAGGAATTTGCGATAACCTCAGCGCTACAACAGTCGTAAGTCTATGTTAAGGTATGGGAGTTACGATCACCTTAGCGCTACGACAGTCGTAAGTCTATGTTAAGGTATGGGAGTTACGATCACCGTAACGCTACGACAGTCGTAAGTCTATGTTAAGGTATGGGAGTTACGATCACCTTAGCGCTACGGCAGTCGTAAGTCTATGTTAAGGTATGGGAATTACGATCATCTTAGCGCTACGGCAGCCGTAAGTCTATGTTAAGGTATGGGAATTACGATCACCTCAGCGCTACAACAGTCGTAAGTCTATGTTAAGGTATGGGAGTTACGATCACCTTAGCGCTACGACAGTCGTAAGTCTATGTTAAGGTATGGGAGTTACGATCACCGTAACGCTACGACAGTCGTAAGTCTATGTTAAGGTATGGGAGTTACGATCACCTTAGCGCTACGGCAGTCGTTAGTCTATGTTAAGGTATGGAAATTACGATCACCTTAGCGCTACGACAGTCGTAAGTCTATGTTAAGGTTTAGGAGTTACGATCACCTTAGTGCTACGACAGTCGTAAGTCTATGTTAAGGTATGGGAATTACGATCACCTCAGCGCTACGACAGTCGTAAGTCTATGTTAAGGTATGGGAGTTACGATCACCTTAGCGCTACGGCAGTCGTAAGTCTATGATAAGGTATGGGAGTTACGATCATCTTAGCGCTACGGCAGTAGTAAGTCTATGATAAGGTATGGGAGTTACGATCATCTTAGCGCTACGTCCGTCGTAAGTTTATGTTAAGGTATGGGAGTTACGATCACCCTAGCGCTACGTCCGTCGTAAGTCTATGTTAAGGTATGGGAGTTACGATCACCTTAGCGCTACGTCCGTCGTAAGTCTATGTTAAGGTATGGGAGTTACGATCACATTAGCGCTACGACAGTCGTAAGTCTATGTTAAGGTATGGGAGTTACGATCACCCTAGTGCTACGACAGTCGTAAGTCTATGTTAAGGTATGGGAGTTACGATCACCTTAGCGCTACGGCAGTCGTAAGTCTATGTTAAGGTATGGGAGTTACGATCACCTTAGCGCTACGTCAGTCGTAAGTCTGTGTTAAGGTATGGGAGTTACGATCACCTTAGCGCTACGATAGTCGTAAGTCTATGTTAAGGTATGGGAGTTAAGATCACCTTAGCGCTACGACTGTCGTAAGTCTATGATAAGGTATGGGAGTGAGAATCACCTCAGAGCTACGATTGTCGTAAGTCAATGTTAAGGTAGGGAATTTGCGATAACCTCAGCGCTACAACAGTCGTAAGTCTATGATAAAGTATGGGAATTACGATCACCTTAGCGCCACGATAGCCCTCATCTTGTCAGAGATGCGTCCGGTTAATACTCCGGGGGATATTCGGAAGTTAAAGGAAGTTTGCCCATGTTTTAACACCAATATCCTGATGGCCATACCGACCCGCAAGTTTTGTTTGTTTGTTTGTTGTTTAACGCCGCACTCAGCAATATTCCAGTTTTGTGACGGCGGTCTGTAAATAATCGAGTCTGATCGAGACAATCCAGTGATTGACATCATGCGCATCGACCTACGGAATTAGGATACGATGACATGCATCAATCAAGTCAGCAAGCCTCTTGCGACCAACATAGTCGCCTTTTACGGCAAGCATGGGTTGCTGAAGACCCATTCTACCCCGGATCTTCACGGGGGACAAGCACGGGTTGCTGAAGACCTATTGTACCCCGGATCTTCACGGCGCACATGCATTCAGCAAAAATGTTTGGACCTACATTTTTTCAGCGGGGCCCTTCAGACTCTTGGTTTACTCTGCTTAGTGTCAGACGCTGCCATTAAGGCAGGTACAGTGCGCATGTCACAGAACAGCGGCACCGGTGAAACCTCACTGGAGTTATCCGCCCTTGTCACGGGAGATCGTAAAGACGCATTCATTACCACTCGTGTTGTTACGGGATGTGACGGAAAGAGGCGACGATGATGAATGGAAGGAATGGGCTTGATAATCCAATGGAGGAAACGACAAAAAAAATAGAAAACAACAACAGTTTTTGGTTAAATCCCTCCCATGCTCCCGAATATTTCAGTTTCATCGAAGACTATTTATCAATAGACAGCCCAAAACTAATATTATACATACTCTTCTCTTCCGCCTGGGGAAGCACGGGTGGCCCAGTCGCCTAAGGCGCCGCGATTCGCTGTGCAGAGTTGCGTCCCTTGGGCAGGCCAGAAACCTATGATTGTGGGTCCAAATCCCGGTTCTCCCCTATCATGTTTCTAGGTTTGTCAGCATTATACCCGTGCTCGTGGGTTTCACCGAAGTGGTTAACGTCTGAGACCTGCATCACTTCGGGCTGACACGCCGTACACATGATCGTTTGTGGTAGATTATTAAGTTTTGACAATACAGGGCCGATCAAAATTATACTTCTTACTCTATAAAAATGCAGACACTGAAGCTCATGTAACACATGTGGTCGTTAACCTTCTAACAGGCAGCTTGGGTTGTATACTCCCCAGGGAGCTGAGAATGATTGTTGAGTGCTCTCTGATCCAGTGACCGGTTTAATAATAGTGCTTTGAGCATGTGCATTTGTGCAAGTATAGCACAATATAAATGGCCTATTATTACTTATATTCAGCGAGCGATATTTTTTAGATCGGTTCTGTTTTGTTTTTGGTTGTATATTTCTCTTTCATTAAGAAGTATAGAGCTATGAATTTACATGAAGAGGGAGGGGCTGGCCCTGTAGTGTTCTTACGTACCCACAGCTTCCCGTGGGCCGACAGTGCAGGGCGGCTTTCATGATGCCACTACAGACTTGATGTACCTGGACTATCTAGATCTGTTTGTGGGCTGTGGGTGCCATGCATGACAATGGGCATCCCAGGATGCCTGCTGTGACTGGTACAGGACTGTGACTTACTTGGCGTCCACAGCTGGCGACAAGTGGCACATGTGACCACTACAAATTAATGGAGTCCATTGTACGATTCCGACTATATCATAAGCACGTGTTTATGATTAACTATCAATTTGTGACGATACCAGGTGATCGTAAAAAGTTATCCCCGCTGGTGGTACCCGTTACAAAAGCATGCAAAGACAAGTCAATTGTTCACCTGAAAAGAATTACGGGAACGTAAGTTAAAACGGAATTGCATCGAACAATTTTTTTGTCACTGATGTGTGTGATATATTCTTTTACTGCAGCTTTGAATGACGTAACACTGATCACATAACTCTTCAGCGAGAGTCATATGACGCTCTTTGAAATCCGTTTGATTGTGAGATTTAAACACAACCTCACTGACCTCATAACACGACTTTTACCTCGACCCCGTTCTGAGGAAGACATTTTCCAAGTTTCATTGGATAGTGAATTTCAACTCGAGCAGTTTAGCGGTTAACAACTTCCTGATGACCTTGATCCTTGACCCTTGTCATGGCCTTTCAAACTTCCAATGTATTCCTGACACTAATAACTAAGGCGAGACCAATTTAATTGCTAGGATTACGGATCCGCCGACACCATTTTTCGCCAAATCGGAAAAAAAAAAAAATGAAATTCTATCATTTTTTTTTATAATATTCTACCCGACATCCAACATCGATCGATAAGCCTTGTTGTGAGAAATACATGTTACGGGAAGTAACTCTTGTTTTTAACTAAAATTCCTTACGCACATGTGTCGGCAAATTCCATTGGTCGTTCCACGCGAACATAGCCAATCGAATGCGTACTCTCAATTACAAGCGTTTCCCACATGCGCAGAACGTGTTTTGAATATGCCGGAACCATGTGGACATGGGGTGTCAGTTTTGGTATTTTAATGCCTCTTATTATCTGCTGTCTTTCGACAATGTCAGCAAAGTATTTTAGCGTAAGCGTTCTGAAGGGTAGCGTGTGCTTATCAAAGCGAATCATGGAAAGTCCACTGGATGACACAGTTGGTGATTTGGCGACGAAAGCCGTATCGTCAATCGCCGATGGAGATGGACTTTCTATACAAGAGGTGCATGCAACAGAATCCAAGGCTGGTTCCTACGGGAATATCGTCGAACTTACAACACCCATGCAAGTTTTAGCAGACTTTGGACTAAATTATGTGACAGTGGTGGCAAAATCGAGAATAAACAGCGCCGATGTGCAGAAAACATCAGCGTTTGATGTTATGATGAGTTCTCAAAAGTTCGACAAGCTGCCGGCGAAATATTCTGGTGACAAACTAACTGGCGATCGAAAACTTTTCAATGACATTCTCGACATGTTTCACAAACATGGCATTGGTTTTACAACAAATAATGTTGAAGCAGTAGGAAAAACTGTTTGCAAGACTCTTCAGAGAATATTATGGTACATCACATCACAGCACAGTAAACTGAAGGAGAGGGGGGGAAAAATTCCCAACATGTTCCAACAGTTCGAAGGCTACTTCGATCATGTACAAGCACATAAGCCACCACCAAAGGTATGTATAACAAAATCTGTAAACGTCAATTTCTTAGGAAAAGTTTTGAAAAATAATTTGACACCTGAAAACCTTTATTAATACTATGTTGATTGTTGAAGCTAGTATAAAACTTGGATTGTTTTAGACAAACCCAGACTTTTAAACTAGTACCCTGTCAGTGTGTGTGCATGTGTTTTGCCAAATGGTCAAGGGAACTATTATTGAATAAAGTCATATGTTGACATGATGAGAATAAATACAGATTAATAAATTTAGCATTTATTAAATTTTTAATAGAGAACAATTGTCTACTTTAAATGAAACTGCAATGTTACAAGATTGTAATACAAACTTCAAACAATGATTTTTAAACATCTGATGACTTGTATTTTCAGATGGAAGTCGCAAAACTTCAAGAGCATATTGATGCCCTGTCTGAGCTCCTCATGCTGCCATGGACCTACAAATTTAAGACACTCTATCAAGATATTCAGCAACTGGTCCAGTGTATGAGAAAGTACATTGACTTCCTGAGACAACAGTCCCAGCGGTCCAAAGAACGACACAATGCTAGTGCACCTTTGCGAAATCCTGTTGGTCCTGTGGGGGAGAATTATTTGGATCTTGACAATACATTGGCTTCTGAGGATGAATACACTCCTGTGGAAATCAGCAACTATCACCCAACCTGTAGATACAAGAGAAGAACATGGATTGACAATCTAAGTTTGTCTGTACCAGTGGCACATTACAGTTACTTTCAGGGCAATTATCTCGGAAATATACATTTTGTATGGCGTTTGCCAGGTGATAAGAGCGAGAGGTCAGATGAAAATACAGTTAAAACTGTGCGGGTAGTCCACAAGTCATTGCCAGATTATTCAACTAGACAGATGAAGAAAGAGTTCTATGCGAAATACCAACAGTCTACAGGAGTGTCTCCAGCTCTTCTCAGAAACATGTACAAATTCTTGACCAATGACAGTAGTGGTGCTGAAAACACTGCACAAGCTGCGATTGATCAACGTGTTGAAGATGTGTTGGAGTTAAATGATCCTGATGTGGCATTGGATTTACGGAGACTGAATGGCAACCCAGACAGTACAAAGTTTGATACCTTCTGGGGTGAAGTTGAAAAATACTTCCATGAAAGGGACCTTGCCATCCACGAGCGGAGACATGGATCACAACTGTACCTTCCATATGCAATATCAATTGACGATCTTGTGTCAACGGTGCGGGGTCGTGTAGATCCAGAAGTACTCATTCCCTCCAATGAATGGGTGAGACTGCAGTTCTGGCCAGCCAATCCAACGACGAGGACTGCATTCCACTACACTGGTCGTTTCAATGTAAAGTTTTCACTTCAAACAAGACAGATACGTGGAAAACATGAGGATAGTCACTATGTGGCTGCACAGTTGGTCTACTTGAAGAAATTTGCTGTGACATTGAGAGAGCATGTCGATTTCTTTTGGCTTGATGACAAAGCCATTGTTCCTATTGGAGAGCCTGGATTACCTGTTAGTACTGGTGTTCGCCCACATAATGCTTCTCTTTCCAGTACTACTGCCAGCTCTCTTACAGCATTAGATCATGATTATAATGTGTGCGGGGCCATCCCCTCTGTTGCTCTGCACTGTGACATTCCACAGGATGCCAGTGATTCTTTCTTCAATGGAACAGCCTTTGTGACTGTAAAGGACAAAGTGTTCAGTCCGTCCAATGCTATTCGTCATGGTGCTGAAACAACAAACATCATCAAATCCCATTTCAGTACTGATGATGGAAATTCAGAGAGAGCTATACTCATAATGTACACGGATGGTGGCCCTGATCACCGCACTACTTTCGGATCTGTGCAATTGGCTATGATAGCCATGTTTGCATGGCTCGATTTGGACATGTTGATCACGGCAAGGACAGCACCAATGGGCAGTTGGGCAAACCTGGCCGAAAGAGTGAACTCTGTTCTGAACCTTGCACTACAAAATGTCTCCTTAGAGAGGGAACGGATGACAGAGGAACTGGAAATGAAAATGAAGAGAGTGTCAACCCTGAAAACTGCAAGAGACATTGCTTCTAGGTATCCAGCTTTTAAAGAAGGCCTTACAGCAGCCGTCTTGCCAGTTCTGAAGTTACTGGAGGAAAGGTTTTCTCATCTGAAAGTCAAGGGGGATGCGGTGATAATAAACAGTGCTGCAAGCAATGAGAGTGTTGAAAATTTCTTCGGAATTTTGAAAGATCATATAGATGATAAACTTGATATGAACAAGTTGACGAAGAAAGATCTGGAGAAATCAGATAAACTAAATGACTTCATGGATCGCCATTGTCGCTGTCGGCAGTACATCTTTCAAATCAAGAAATGTGATCCTCACAGAGTTGACGATTGTTGGTATTGTGTCATCAATCCTCCAAGACTGCCTGATGATGAGTTTGAACAATTGAATTTCATTCCTGATCCTGTTGTATCTCCTGAAAGTGGAGATAAGTTTGAAGAGTTTCATTCTGTCTATGGTACAGACACTACTGATTCAGCTAGACCCTCCTTGAGTTCTGTCACCATGTCTTCAATAAGAGACAAGCAAAATAGGAAAATTCTCACTGCAAACAAAGTTCGAGAGTCAGTAACATGTGTTGAATGTCGTAAACCGAGATGTGTTTATTCAGACACCAGACTTTCCTACAAAGACAAAACAGCCTTGATCCGCATGAGAGAGGGACGTTCTTACACTTGTGGGTCACCACTGTTTCCTCCAGCATCTCCATACTTTGAAACGCTAGTTGTGAAAGAGAGTCTCAGATGTTCGTCCACAATGGAGACTACATACTATGCCAGTAATACATGTTCTTTGCCAAGTGTTTGCTTTCACTGCGGAATTGCCAGGTCAGAAGATTTTGCTGATGACAGTGTAATCCATGAACTTCAGGCTATGTACAGCACTGTGAGGCCTATCTGTCGATCTTGTAAACAATCAGGAAAAGAAGCTGCAGTGAGGGGGAAACGTAATGTTAAAAAACTGAGAACATCATAAATCATTTTGCATTAACTGACCTGTAAATCATGCAGGTACTAGTCAAATGATGGAAGATATGTTAACTCCTGTGTTTTGTGTGAAATCAGAAATGGTACCTCTTATTTTTTAAATACATTTTCCAATTTTGATGTGATGTGGGGGAAAGTCTTGGCCGGAATTTGAGCAGAATGTCTCTGCTCATGTATGTTATCCTTTTGTTGTTTTATGACTGCTTTTAATAGGAGGTGTGTACCTCATTATTCCATGAGGAAAATGCTGTGTGATACTGAGTGAAAGTGGAAAAAAGTACTTTTTGTAACATTTCAGGTACAGTTTTTGTAGGTGCTAAATGGTTATTTGTTTTGAAGCCATTTAATAAGTGCCATTTCATTTTAGTGCATTCCACATGTTAGCATAACACGTCAGTCATGAGTGTTACCTGATCATTTAACACGATTAAGTTATACTGGATAGAGTATTTCAAGTACTTGTATGTGCCAAATGTTTTCTTTTGTTTTGAAGTCAAGGGCTATTTAATTTAAGTGCATAACACTTCAGCTATGAGTGTTACCTGATCATTTAACACGAAAAAAGTGATACTGGACAGAGTATTTCAAGTACTTGTATGTGCCAAATGTTTTCTTTTGTTTTGAAGTCAAGGGCTATTTAATTTAAGTGCATAACACTTCAGCTATGAGTGTTACCTGATCATTTAACACGAAAAAAGTGATACTGGACAGAGTATTTCAAGTACTTGTATGTGCCAAATGTTTTCTTTTGTTTTGAAGTCAAGGGCTATTTAATTTAAGTGCATTCCACATGTTAGCATAACACGTCAGCCATGAGTGTTACCTGATCATTTAACACAATGACATTATACTGGACAGAGTATTTCAAGTACTTGTAGTTTTACCCTGAACGTCAAGGGTACGAAGATTGGATGGTGCCATTTTGGCAAAAAGCTGACATACCCGGTAATCAAAAGAAGCTGCATACTTGAATAAACATTCTATTCATGGTGAAATAACAAAGAGAACAACACAAGAATAGGCATAATGTTTTATTAAGACATTCTTCATAAGCATGTATCTTCTTCTTATTTCTGTCAATGAAGCTGAAATGTGATGAAACTTGATTAATTTCTTTTAAAAAACAAGATGGCTGCCGTGCCTGACCTCCCTACTTGTATGTGCCAAATGTATATTTGTTTTGAAGCCAAGTGCTGTTTTAATTTCAGTGTATTTCACATTGTTTTTATATTTTTAAAATACAATAAATCTTTAATAAGTTAAAAGCTTGTTGTTGAAGTCTACCTGCTTGTGGAAAACTGCCAAAAGATACCTGTAAACCCTGGACATCAGTAAGGAGTGTCATTAGATAAAGGGACTATAGTGCATGCGTGGTGGGTAATACTGAAATACTTTTGTAGCTTCTGTGGCACAAGTGAGGGATTTTTTTTTTTTTTTTTTTTATTTCCTCCTATCAGCATTCCTGCCTCCTAAAATCCGTAATACCTGCGAAAAAAAATTCTCTCAAGTACTTTTTTTTTTTTTTTTACATTCCCTCCTCCATTCAGCCACTTTACCCGAAAAAATCCGTAATCCTAGCAATTAAATTGGTCTGGCCTAAGACTGTTTATCATCCAAAACACTATTGGGTGAGATTCTTCATTTATCATCCAAAACTGGCTCCCACAGGAGATATCGCTTGGATTAGATCAAGCGATATCTACACTGTAGATATCGCTGCAATGAAATTACATCACAATGCTTTGCAGACCATTGTGACGTCACTTTTACCATGACGTCACAATCAAATGACATCACTAATGGCTCTGCTACTGAAGCTGTTAGCAGTACTTTTTACGCTGAAGACACTGCTAATTACTGTCTACAAATTGAAAAACTTGGAAAATTGATGTTGGATGATAAATAAAATCTCACCCTCGTGTCTTTTGATATCAAATATATCAACACTCGTTGATTCTCTATTTAACCAACTTTAGCGTGCTACGCTTGAATGCATGTTTTAGATTCAAATAGTGATATGTTTCGCGTCCAATAGCGTGGCAGTGCATTACATTTCCGTCTATTCTTAATAAAGCAAGCACTATTTTGTGTCATTTAAATCCTTGCTACTAAATATATATTCAGACAAAGAGTCGCAGGGAATTATGTCATCTGTCGACTGTAATTAACTTCCTTGAGTTTCTTCTTTCACCTGGGCGAGAGGGAGCACAAGGGGACTTGTTCCGCCTATCAACGCAGTTAATGTTCCTCACCTCTGCCCCGCGCTGCAATCTACACTACAGGACTACCATGAGCGTTAATCATCCGAGGAAATACCTGACACGTGCACAACACATCCAGGTGACACTATACATCACGTGGGATGACAGTATCCGGTGACAAAGGTCAGGAGAGAGGTCACTTCCTTCCCTCGATAAACGTCTTGATGATGGTTGTAAACCAACATCACGAGCTCTCAGATTTATGGGACGAGTTGTTTCCCCTCAGAATCCTATTTCAGAAGAAAACAGATTGACTCGGGGAATGGTCGGTTCGTGTATAAACAGCTTGAACGATTGTGGTTTTAGGAACGATTTTTGACAAACTTTGTATACAGGTATCTTCATCACGGAACCACATGGACGCCATGCTGTGGCGTACGTGTGACCGAGAAATATTAACTTACCCTGAGTTGCTAATGTTTCACATGTTTGTTATATCAGGAGGTATTGAATACCTACGGTATCTCCATCAATGTACCTGGCAACAGAGTACCCGAGTTGTCGGCCTGTGTGTAGCCAGGTCGTCAGATAGACGCCGTGTGGAACCCATGTACTGCAAGGTGAACTACGAAACAACACCACGGCACAATGGAACAACGGCACGGCGAAACATCGACAAAACAATGCAACGGCATAAAAATACAGCGTCATAACGACAAAACAACACGACGGCCAACAACGGCACGACGAAACAACACTACGGCACAACAATACAACGGATACAACACAAGGGCACAACGACGAAACACACAACAGCACAACGACGAAAGATAACAACGGCACAACGACGAAGGAACACAACGGCACAACGACGAAAGAACACAAGGGCACAACGACGGAACAACACAACGGCACAACGACGAAAGATAACAACGGCACAACGACGAAAAAACACAACGGCACAACGACGAAATAACACAACGGCACAACGACGGAACAATACAACGGTACAACGACGAAATAACACAACGGCACAGCGACGAAACAACACAACACCAAAATGACAAAAAAACACAACGGCACCACGACGGCATGGCGGAACAACGACAGAACCTTACAACGGCATAAAAATACAGCGTCATAACGACAAAACAATACAACGGTACAACAACGGCACGACGAAACAACACAACGGTACAACGACGAAACAACACAATGGTACAACAACACAACGACAAAACAACACAACGACGAAACAAGAAACGGCAGGACAAAACAACAAAAGGAACAACAACACAACGACGGAACAACACAACAACGAAATAACACAACGGCGCAATGACGAAAGAACACATCGGCACGGCGGCACACCAACAACTACAAAACGGTACAGATTTTACAGCGTCATAACGACAAAACAACACAACGGCACAACAACGGAACGACGAAACAACGAAACAACACAACGGCACAACAACACGACGACGAAACTATAAACGGCAGGGCAAAACAACAAAAGGCACAGCAACACAACGGATAAAACACAACGGCACAACAACGAAACAACACAACGACGAAATAACACAACAACACAACGCAGCAACATACAAAGGCCTTCATGGGTTTGAAGAACGCTGATCGATCGGAGAGTCCAGGAGTGAAATCTGTTGACTGGCTTGTTTCATAGATTAAACGAAGTGACGGACAAAGGAGTCCATGCGTTAAACAGGGAAATGAAGGGCTTTGAAGTGTGGAGCCTGGAAGGGGAAACACTTGAGCATTTAAACTTGGACTCGTTTACTCCTCCCCTCATTCACCGCTTCCCTCACGCACTTTCCCCTTTTTTTCACTCTTTCACCTATATACCTACGCATTCTCTCCTTCTTTCGCTCTCTCATCTCTGCACTCACCCCCAGCCTTCAGTCACATGCTCACCACCTCCCTACTTACCCCATTCACGAATGTAATCTCTCAAATCCTCATTCAGGTATTCAAGTCTCCCAAACTCGCTAACTCTCCCCAAGTCACATTTACTCCTTCCCTCACTCACTCATTTACTCCTTCCCTCACCCATTTACTCCTTCACTCCTTCACTCACTCACTCCTTTACCCCTTCACTCACTCACTCCTTTATTACTTCACTCACTCACTCATTTACTCCTTCACTCACTCAATCATTTACTCCTTCACTCACTCACTCATTTACTCCTTCCCTCACTCACTCATTTACTCCTTCCCTCACTCACTCATTTACTCCTTCCCTCACTCACTCCTTTAGTCACTCACTCATTTACTCCTTCACTCACTCATGTACTTCTTCCCTCACTCAATCATTTACTCCTTCCCTCACTCATTACTTTACTCCTTCCCTCACTCACTCCTTTACTCACTCACTCATTTACTCCTTCACTCACTCACTCATTTACTCCTTCACTCACTCACTCCTTTACTCCTTCCCTCACTCACTCCTTTACTCCTTCACTCACTCACTCCTTTACTCCTTCACTCACTCACTCATTTACTCCTTCACTCACTCACTCCTTTACTCCTTCCCTCACTCACTCCTTTACTCCTTCACTCACTCACTCCTTTACTCCTTCACTCACTCACTCATTTACTTCTTCACTCACTCCTTTACTCCTTCCCTCACTCACTCATTTACTCCTTCACTCACTCCTCTACTCCTTCCCTCACTCACTCCTTTACTCCTTTACTCACACACTCCTTTTCTCCTTCACTCACTCACTCATTTACTCCTTCACTCACTCCTTTACTCCTTCCCTCACTCACTCCTTTTACTCCTTTACTCACTCACTCCTTTACTCCTTCACTCACTCACTCATTTACTCCTTCACTCACTCCTTTACTCCTTCCCTCACTCACTCCTTTACTCCTTCCCTCACTCACTCCTTTACTCCTTTACTCACTCACTCCTTTACTCCTTCACACACTCACTCCTTTACTCCTTCCCTCACTCACTCCTTTACTCCTTTACTCACTCACCTATGTACTGCTCTTGCTCTTGCTCATTCTCTCAGCTAAAACGCAGAGCTTGACTTTCACTATACGGAGATAGGGACGATGAAGGGAGTAGACTTAAACTGGCCCAGCTCTCCAAGTCGCAGTACCATGTCGAACTCCCCGGGCTCCGCTGGATGTCGGCATCGTGGTAGACTTGCAGAAGTCTCTAAAGCAATAATTATTAGTTCTAGATTATATAAATAATATCAATAAGAACAAGTTGTCTCCATAAGAGACTGGAGTCCTTGTACTTTCACATACCTAAACTTCCCTTTCAGGAGGACAGAATTCGTGCAAATCCTCGCCGCAATTCTCTGTGCAGAGTTGCGTCCCTTGGGCACGGCAGAAACCTATGATTGTGGGTTCGAATCCCGGTTTGTACCCGTCTGAGACCTACATGTGTACATCATTTCGAGATTTCCTCCCACATTGAGCAGACATGCCGTGATATAACTGAAAAACGGTTCAAAGCAGCATTATAAACAACTCACTCTCTAACGTACTCACTTTATCGTTCAAGATCATTCGCTCAGCTGAAACACAGAACTTGGCTCTCACTACACAGAGATGGGGACGATGGAGGGATGTGGCTGTACCATGTCGAACTGCGCCTTTAGTTGATTGGTTGTTGTTTAACGCCGCACTCGGCAATATTCCCGCTATATGGCGGCGATCTGTAAATAATCGAGTCTGGACCAGACACTCCAGTGATTGATTATCATGAGCATCGATCTACTCAGCAAGCCTGTCCACCCGATCCCGTTAGTCGCTTCTCACGACAAGCATGGGTTGCTGATGACCTATTCTTACCCAGATCTTCACGGGTCGAACTGCGCCTTTAAGTACTCCCCAAGCTCCGCCGAATATTGACCGCGTGCTGACGCTAATATTTTCCCTTCATCAATTCTTTTTCATAATCTTAAAAAACCCACTGATATTGCACTTGCTGATTAGTGTTTCAAATTACGACATGCTACCATGTCAGCCCAAGACCCCAGCAATAAACACATCACGAAGTCACCACTGCCGGAATATTGAACTAAACAATACTTATGAACCCAATCGCAAATTGTGTCTTTAAGCGTCACACAGCCTCCCCAATGAATTCAAATTGTAATCAGCTGGGTATTTAGCCTCATTCGCTGTACACAACGCGAGACGTGGTCGAAGTATCGCGTGGCTTTACGAGACACAAGGATTCAATAACGATTATCCGCATCTCCAAATATTTTCAATTATCTTGATGAAATCGCAGTTTGATGAATAACACCATACCACAAATGGAAAATGTTTTTATGGAATTCAATTATTGCACTCTCGGTAGGTCACGTTGGTGAGACGAGATTTAGAAAAATACAGTCTGATTTAGAATATAGAAGATCTTACTGGATTACTCACGCTGCGCCTGAAAATGAGCAAAAAGATTACTTTTATCGACCAGCGTGTGTGTACTTACAACTA